TTTTTTATTGATTTCAGAGAGGAAGAGAGAGATAGAAACATCAATGATGAGAATCACTGATTAGCTGCCTCCTGCACGTCCCCGTGGTGGTGGTGGTGGTCAGGGGGCGGGGGGTGGGGGGGTTGAGCCCGAAATCCTGGCATGTCCCTTTGACCGGAATTGATCCTGGGACCCTTTAGTCCGTAGGCCGACGCTCTGTCCACTGAGCCAAACTGGCTAAGGCTCCCGTCTGATTTTATAAAGTTGAGATATGTCACATACCACACAATTCACCTATTTAAAATGTTCAGTTCAGCCCGGCCACGGTGGCTCAGTGGTTGAGTATTGACCTATGAACCAGGAGGTCACCGTTCAATTCCCCGTCAGGACACATGCCCAGGTTGCAGGCTCGATCCCCAGTAGGGGGCGCTGCAGGAGGCAGCCGATCAATGATGCTCTTTCATCATTGATGTTTCTCTCTTCCTCTCTGAAATCAATAAAAATATATTTTTTTAAATAAATAAAATGTACAATTCATTGGTTTTTGGTAGGGTCACAAAGTTATGCAACCATCACCACAATTTTAGAACACTGTCATTACCCCAAAAAGAAACTCCTGCCCATTAGCAATTATTCTGTATTTCACCCTCTAGTCCCCAAGCCATAGACAACCACTAATCTATTTTCTGTCTCTCTACATTTGCCTGTTGTGGGCATTTCATATAAATGGAATCATATAATATGTGGAGGTTTTTTTATGACTAACTTTTTTTACTTGGCACAGTATGTTGGAAAGTTCCTATTTTATCATCACTCCCCAACTGCTCCCTCACCCCCCGCCCCCACCCCTATTTTCTACCAGCCATCTCTCGGTTCCTCCCAGTTCTCTCAGTCCTGAACCAGGTCTTACTTGGCAATGTAGGGTTCCTGCCCCATGGTGATATTGAAGCAACGGCAAATACGCTGCCAAGTCGTCAGGGAACAGCTTGAATCCTGGTCATAAACTGTGCTGTGTTTTTTGCCTCCCGAGGACAACAGCTTCATGGAAGCCTTGCAGCAGGCAGCAGTTTGCAATGGGATTTTCAGCCTCCTTTCACAGTCGAAGGAGCCCTGGTACAATCTCTGGGTTCTTGTGATGATCCTGGCTGCACAGGAACACGTTTAGACCCAGTTAAAC